CCTTCTGTCCGCAACCACCCTTCCCCTTTCAGCAAGCTGCGTTGGAACCAGCCAATTTGTAAGCTTGTGTGCAGCTACCTTCTGGCTAGCTTATGACAACGAGGACATATCTTCCACTGGGATGGGGACTGGGTGAGAAGTGACTCAGGCAAGCTGGTACCGGAGGTAGTTGGTGGGGAGTTTAGGGAGCATCTCAAGAGAGTGGTTAGCTGGCTGCAGGGTATTTTCTAATGATATCACAGTGTAAAAATCTGTTAATTTCCCAGTTTGCTCTAGATCCTATTTTATTTTAAATAAGACCCTGTGTTAAATTGAAAACATTTTGCTGGTACAGGTGTGCATCAGAATCATCATCTCTCACCCCACTTTCAAGGAAAAATGTTTAAAAAAAATAGGAGTACTCTTTTATCCTCTGGTTAACTGAGACCCATGTCCTCTGCCTCTGGCAACTATAATGTTAAACTTCTCATTAGTATTTAAGAGAAAATGCAGGATTTGTGTATGGATGAGGGAAAGCTGATTTATAAAAGCACATAAACCATCAAACTGGTCAATGCTATTATAAGGCTTGGATGTTTAGAAAATCACTCAGAATGATTTTTGGAACACCAACATCTGAGGGGGAAAGAGTCTCCTGTCTGCTTGTGAGATCTGCAATACATTTGTTCATATTTGTTACATGGTCAACACAGCCTTGCTCTGCATATAAACTCCAATGGAAGCAAATAAGTATGTCATAATCTACAAACTAGCCCCTACAGAGATTGTATCTGAGATTTATTTTTATACTTCAGTCCCAGAAAATCTTTGCTTTCCTTAGGATGCGATGCTTTCCTGATTTTTTGATGAATAGCTGTATTTCTCTTTTTGCTTTGGTTACTGGGAAGCTCATAGCTAAATGTGAAGCTTTAATCAGACTATTTATACCCTTTCATAGAGCATCTATTGTGTTCTCCTGCTACATGGTAACAAATGACTTATTTTTGTCTTTTTTTCCCTTATACCCCACCTCTATTTTGCCATTATTTTTTATTATATGCATTTATGTAAACTAATTCCTTTGGTATAAGCTAACAAATGACTATTTCTCCAAATCCTATATCAAACTAGGACTTTAAAAAAATTATCATATAAAGTCTTTTGGATCCTTTGGTGATTATGCCCCTTATACCCTGGAAGAGATTTCATAAAATCTGGCTATGTACTATTCCTACACTTTCAGTGCTAGGGAATACACACTGTTACCTTTCTTCATTTTCATTTATGTTTAGTCTATGACAGCTACAGAGTAGAGTTTTTTTTAGCAGCTCTGAATGCTATCACCAGGTATAAGAAGACATTTAATCCCCACACAAACCAAACTCAGTATTGATATCTGGGGCTCTTTCTTTAAGTATAAGTCTCCACAGTGAGCAACTGGGAATTAGCTTTACCTAGGGAAGCAAGTCAACAGCGCATATTTCTATCACCTGAAAACACAGCTCGGATGTTGAGTTAAGTACGTTATCTCTGGCAAAGTCGAAAGGGCTGCTGAGGAGGTTCAAACATCATCACAGATCCCTTCATTCCCATCATCCTGACAATATGAAAATACTTCAGAGAGAATAGCCACCACACATATGCAATGGTCACCAGGAGCTGTTGCACTCAAGGGAGTGTAGGGGAGAAATGCACTCTGTGTCTACATTCACACTACAGAGCAGAGCCCAGAAGTATCTCTACTTAGTTTTCTCACAAGGCAAAATATAATCCTAATTCTTTCCTGAACGCAATCTACTTTAAAGCCACCATATTTATTTACATGTTGAAGGAAAATAAAACCAAGGAAGGGATATTTTGAGAGTTACAAACGCAGATATAATATGCTCTAATGAACTGACATGCTTGCGATATCCCTCAACAACTTCACAACTTCACTGGGTAAGTCTTTGATGATAGTTATGCTTTGTCTTTTTTTTTTTTAATTTTATTTATTTATTTACGAGACACACACACACACACACACACACACACACACACAGAAGTGGAGACACAGGCAGGGAGGAAGAAGCAGGCTCCGTGTAGGGAGCCCGAGGTGGGACTCGATCCCCGGTCTCCAGGATCACACCCCGGGCTGAAGGCGACGCTAAACCGCTGAGCCATGGGGGCTGCCTGCTTTGTCTTTATTTAATGAAACTATTTTAAAAAAGGGCCCGAGGGATCATAATTTCATAGACTCCTTATATCTGACTAGAATTTGATGGAATAACTTCTGAGCCAAAGTTGTGGGACACAGTGTTTGGTTTGCATTCAATTAAGGGTATGTGAGTGTGTGAGTGTGTGAGTGTGTGTGTGTGTGTGTGTGTGAAAGATAAAGTATGTACTTACTTGAATAACTTTGAGTATATTTTATATAGCATGTCACCCATGAGGACCCCATACCCCAACACTGAAGAAACATGAAAAGGGTTAAGTGTCAAGTACCCTACTAGGACTTCAAACCTTAACATTTACTGGGTTGGAAATCCCTTCCCAAAGTTTTGGCATAGATTAATTTATTCTCATTTTTTAGGCATTTCAAAATATACTGCACTCTTATCAGATTATTTTCACGTTAATTCGGAAGTATTCTTAAACTTTAGTTTTGAATGCTAAACACCTACGTCAGCATATGCAAACATCACTTTCCAATTACTTAGACTTCATCATTTCAGTTGCACAGTGCCTCCAGATGAAGACCTCTGTCTTGTACCTCACGACAGTTTCTACCTGCATGTTCCACCATTGCTGGCAACACTGAACACATCTACCACTGAGGGTACAGTGCCTGCTCCTGGGTAAGTCAAGATGCTGACTGCTGATATACACTTTAAAACTCATCACATAAAAATAGCAGGGAATGGCTGCACAGAAGGTGCCAGCTACTGTACCATGTCTACACAGCTGCTTTCTTCTGCAGAAACCTCAATTATTTTTCTCCGATTTTAGGAAAAGATTGACTTAATGTTACAGTAGAGAAGCAGTGAAATACACTGCTTTCAAGAAGAAACCAGCACAGGGTTAAAGCCAAATTTTTCTTGAACAGATGATATTTCAGATGGCCACACTATTCCAGATGCATCAATTTCCTTGAAAATCCAATCCATATATGTGCATATGCTGTGCTGGCAGGAGGACTGACTGAAATGGCCAAAACCCAAGAGCTAATATTCTTTTGGCCAGAATAATGCAATTATTATTTTCCTAGCTATCAGTCTAAGCATACAGAGCCATCTGTTATGCAAAGCAAACATACACATCTCAATTACAGAAAATGCAGTCGCCTTGACAGAATTTGGATTACACCACTAACCAGGGCTGTAAAATGTGTTTTGAGCTAGTATATAATGGATGCTTTTCAGGAGTTCCCTAATTAGCATTTACCTGCTTAAACTAATTATTCATCCTTCTTCTTCACTGGCTTATTAAACTTTGTTGGGTACTCTGCATAAAACAGATGAATATGGGCACTGCAGAACAACAAACAGTGGTGTTTCCAGTTCTGTACAGTTTGAAGGAACATAGTGGCACACCCATCTCAAAACTGGAGACTCTCAAAACTAGGTCCCAAACAGATTAAGACAAGGCTTAAAGCCTACTAAAGGCTATTACGAAACCAGAGATTTCAACAAGATGCAAGAATGCTAATAGTGAGTTAACAATAGCCTGGTTTGTAGAATTTGGTTTGCTAAAACCCACATAAAACAGAATTACTCTATAAACTATAGCCAATAGCTTGCATGTCCTTCAAGGAAGCGTTAACGGACCCTCGCTTGGATTCTCAACAGTAAATAATCAAATTTGGCAGCATTTCTCCTCCTCCTCCAACCCTCCTCAGATGCCAACTATCTTTCTTTATTATTTCCCAATGTCGTTCTTGATTTAGCTATTACCCAGCAAACTCACTAACAGCCAAAATGTTCCAGCCGTGCTGGATGCCTCCTTAGAGTGGTGCCAACTTTCAGAAGCAATGAGTCTGGGGTGGGTCTTGCTGAAGAAGAGAGAGAGACAAATCTTATCTCTATGTTTAGCTCCAAGGGGCAACTGGATGAGAAGTAGATTATCCAACTTGGCAGCTCATCACATACACACAAAATCCCTCCCACCGAGGCTGTGTATTCCTCATGCCAAACCACCAGATGAAAAGGGTCAAACTCCGCCAATCACCTGTGTGGGCACAAATATCCAGATGTTTAGTATTTTTACAGAAAAAAAAAAGCCCACATCTGGATAATTAGTGGAATTGCAAACTTTTCTTCAGGGGATGTTGGCATTCTAGAGATGCCGCCTGTGTCCCGGGATCTGAACCTAAGTAAAATTTGTGTGTTACAGGGAGGATATCAAGAACTAACCTCTAGGATTTTGTCCCCTGCCCCAGCTGCCTCCTGTCTTCTTTTCTCTCAACCTCAGACAGACACGTGCGAGAAATTAAACCGCACATCATGAAAGGCGATCTTATTTTATGAAATTGTCTTTCAGTGTTAGGAAGCATTTGCAAAGGCAGCAAAATATATCCTTGCTGGAACCCTCCCTGCAACACATTTTAATGGTCTCTTTCAGCATTTCTTGACTCCAAATGACTCCCTGTCATTGTGTCAGGTCCCAGGATAATGCAGGGTACTCTATAAACATCCAGTAATAGGACACAAGGGAAGCACTATTAGTGTGTCCCTCTCCTACCGGGCACAGAGGTTTCAAAGTTCAAAACAACTGAGGGAAGAAACTTCATTTGTTCTCAATAAATTAATAATGATCCTTGTGGGGTGGGGAAGGGGGGAACTAAAGTTTTTGAGCACAGGTTGATTCCGAACATTCTGAACGGACAGAATTTTCTCACTGACTTTGCGAGAAGAGCCAGGTAGGGACCATTAAAGAATAAATTTGATACTTCATGCTAAGCAGAATATCCGTTGAAGAAGGCAAAGTACGAGGCAGAAGGAGCCTTCACAATCACCGTCAAGAATCTAAATTGTTGTACTTACTTGTGAGAGGCCTAGGTAGATGGAGACGGTTTCGGAAATGTACAAAAATTTTCCTTCTTGATTTAGTGCAAATACAAAGCCATCCAGGGACTGCAGAAAAAAAATATATATTTAAGTTAAAAAAAACATGTGATGGAGATTTAATTAATAGGGCAGGTGACACAAAGCAACACCTACTGAATTTAAGACCCCTTTTTTCTTCACATCTAACAAACGCCCTAAGATGTTTCACCATTGCCCTGTATGGGAACAAACTCAAGGTCTGAATGAAGACTACAGGCTTTCCTTTATTTTGAGGCCTTCCTTATGTCTCTGTCATTTTGATCAAGATACATTATATTCATGTACAAAATTGGGTCGTGGTGATTTTACGAGCTGTTGCCTTTGTTTTTTTTTTTTTTTTTTTGAATTCAGTAGTTTAAAAGATTAAATCAGTCAGATTCTCCATTAAAGAGCTGAACAGAAATGGAAATTATAATGAAACAAGAGAAAAAAAAGGTCCGTATATGAAGAGCAAGTAAAATCACCACTTGAGCTACTGTGGACATCAATAATTTGCTAATTAATAAAGGATTATACCCTTCTCAGTACCACTGCCTATTGTGGTAGAACAAACAGGAAAAGTCAATACATTATGGGTGAATGATTATAGGCTGAAACCTTACAAAACTGTAATCCTTTTTTGCAAAATTCTGCTTAAGTTTTATTGTGATAGATCTAGATTCTATTAGAGTTCCTGAAATGGAAACAAAAGAAAGGGGGTGGGGAGAGAAGGAAGCTACGCATCATCTGTGACTCCTGAAACCTTTGTCTACTTTCCAAATGGAGGGTTGCATTGTCAGTTTGACGATCTGTGTAAATCATCATGGACTCCAAATGCAATATACCACTCAAAGGGAGAGTAAGTACATTTGTTTTAAATTCTTGCAATTCAAGTGCATTTTATACCCTCAATCCTCCTTGTCTTTTGTTTTGCTTTATTTATTTATCTTTAACTAGGTAGGTGGCAAAGTAATGCTTGTATGGGAAGAGAAGTTTCAAAGATTAGTGGTTTTTACAAAGGCTGCGAATTTGGAAAAAACAGGAAACCCAAACTGGGAACAAGGTATGTGGCAACACTAAATTAACGACATAATTTTTACACATGGAAAGGTGGAAGTAACATGTAAAATTCAGGTAGAAAAATGGACGGTCTCAAATCTCAGCAATCATTTCAGTTGCCTAAAATACTGAATCTTTTTTTGGAGCTCTAAACGTATATGTGAAATATACATATTTTCGTATTATATGTATGTAGGTACATGGAGGGGAATGTGTGTGTGTGTGTGTTTGTGTGTGTAGCATAACATTTGGATTCCATGCTTCCTGACCCATTTTCAGAATCCTACTGGTCAGAGACTGTGAGTAGCACCCAACCTCCTCTGATTAGGTGGGTTGCGAAAACACTTCAAAAGTCACATTACATGATTACATTACAAATTACATGATACACAAGCTTCCGGTCAGGACATCGTCCATTCATTAAGCAACATGTGCTAGGCAGTTTACACGTGTTATCTTGTAATTTTCACAAGTATCAACTGAAATAATTATGTTATTATTTACATTTTATATACAAGGAAATTGAAGCTTAGTGAAGGTAGGTGACATGCCTGACTCTAGTTAGTGATGGAGTTTGGGTTCCAAGTCTGATAGTCAGAATTAATGACAATACTGACTCCATTAAAAACAAAGGTTCTCTGATTGATATTAAATTAATATCAGCTTTTCAGCTTTTCTGAAGTGAAACTATACTAAGACGAGGCCTATGACTTAAATATCAGCACTTGATTTTGAACGGTTTGTTCAGATGACAAAATCCCACTGTTAGGAGACAGCCAGGAAGTGAGATGACAGGAGAGTCCACAAGTCCGTCCCATAAGAGGTCACCTTGTCACCTTGCTCCATAATCTCTCTCCTGGAATCAGCTATGGGACAGGGAAAAAAGGCTGTTCAGTGGACTCCTTCACTTTGATAACACTGACACCCACTCGGGAGCCTGGTGAGAGCCAATCCTCCAAGCTTGGGGTGTGGCACAGCGTTTGTAGAAGTTTGGGAAGGATCTTATTTCAACATGTCTTTACCTCACATAAGACATCTTCTGATGGCTCCCCCCCCCCTTATGAACCTTCTCCATGGACAGGTTTTCCACCCAACCCAATGGCCCTGCCCTGCCATACAATCATAGAGAACTGTGTGAGCCATCCTCTCGAACCTTAAAATGCTTCTGTTAGATCTGAGAGAGAGAGAGGAGACAGGAGAACTTTTCATGGGAACAGATGGCAGTTGAAAGGCTGACTGAGAGAAGAAAGGACCAATGAAACTGGCATAGATATAACCTCCCATAACTCCAAACCCTTTACAGGTGAGAAAACGGAGGCACAGAGATGTTGAATGGTTGGATTAGACCATACAGTCGGCTGGTGGCAGAGCTACGACTAAATCTGCTGTACCCCAATAATACTGTTAAAGTGTTGATGACATTGTATGGTCCTGACTGGCTTATCCAACTCTCAAATTTCAAACCAGTGGGCGATGTCTTATTTATCTTTATCTAGCAACAAGTGCTCAACCAAGACTTAGCAAATGCAGTTCTATCTCCAAGCTCAGTACTCCTTCCCCTGAGTCACATATGCTAGAATGACTAAGAGGGATGGAAATTATCTTCTGCAAAAGTCCTGGTCATGCAGCTATTAGAGTATTTGCAGATTCTGATGCCGCAGATGTCTGACAGAGTCTGAGATATCTCCTACCATTTGGAAGATCAGAGTTAGATTAGATTCTTTTGTAGTTCTCCAAAACATCTAGTGCGGGTCATTTGCCAGTCACACACATCCTTTATTTTCTCACTAAAAGGGATTGTGATTTTATAATGTTAGGTTCCTATCTCATGTATTTACTAAAAACGGTAGAGGATGTTTGGGCATCATAGCAAGGAAAAAAAAATTTCTGGAGGCTAAACATCTGATGCTATTAAGCAGCAGTGATCTAAGAACTGGCCAGTTTTGTTTGGCAAAGCAGAGGCTCTGACACATGTTCCAATTTCCTGGTGAGATTAAAATGAGTCTATGTCTACATGACACAAAGCATCCAGTCAATTCAATTAAAAATAACAGCCAATTTGGTGTGGGAAGAACACAACTAGTCAGATTAGTTGTTTGTCATCACAGATGCAAAATAAAACAAAAAACTAAACTAAACCAAAAAAAAAAAAAACCTGGTTAGCCATATTTTTTTTTACCTTTATATTTATCATGCCAATTATATCTACAGTGTGAGATGAATGTCCAAAACTCAGATGTGAGTACCTTTCAAATAAGGAAATGGGATATGAACCTGGTTCAGCAGCAGACTGGCAAGGTTGTTCTTCACACAGCTATTGCCTTCTGACTGAGGGACGTCCCTATCCATAGTTAGCTCTATTCTGCTGCTTAGAAAAGTTTTAAGAGTAGCACCAATATTGGTTTAATGTATGTGTCTTAGTCTTAAAAGGTGGCAGGTGGAAGGAAGCATTCAATCAGTTAATCTTGGGAACTAAATGTGATTAATCTGAAAGTTCTATGGAATTTTGAAAAATTCTGAATCAAGAAAGCTACTACATTCTGAGCTTTTTCAATCACTGCAGGCTACTTTTTAATTTTTTTAAAACTGCCCACTGTTTTCAACAGGCGCCAATTAAGATTCTGGGGTCAAAGGGTTAATTACATCTCCTTACTCACTATGTAGAATTTTCTGATTATTAACTAAGGTTGGATTAAGATGAAAAAGAACCTACACAAATGTTAATGCTAGTCCCTCCTTGAGAAGATTTATTATAAAGCCATGCTGAAATCTATCTGCTTTCCTCAAAGCAGATGGAGAACAAAATCTTAGAAGAAACAGTAAAACAGAGATTTTAAAGGCATGCTAGTATCTGATTTATCAAGACAGTTTTCTTATTACTAAAACCAGTTCTTAGCCATCCTGACAGGGCTGATAGGAGATTTCCTTTGTCACATCCTCGTAAGTCTATGAGGTACACATGCAGGAGGGAGGCTTGGAGTCAGGAGCTACAGCATCTCTGAATAATAATGCCTGTAATTATAATTTATATCCCCTGACATCAGTGTAACATATAAAGTGTAAGGCACAGTTTCTTAACCCGGAAAGCTGAGGGCCTCTAACAGAATTTGTCAAATGATGAGGTTATTTCCTTGCAGGGTATGAAACTAACTATAGCTTCATGATTGAAGGTATACTAATGTTTAATGCATTGTGCTAAATGGATTTATATTTGTCAAAGTAGTTTTGTCTCTGCTTCCCCCCCCCCAACATATTCCACCGCAGCCAAATCTCACAGAGTGAAATCTTACTCTGGTGCCCTTATTGGGGTAATTCTCATGTATATAACCATTCTGAGATTAGCAGTTCTTTCTTCCACATTCCAGTGCAGAAGAGAAAAAAAAATAAAAAAAAAATCACCCCAAACTCTTTTCCTATGACCTCACTCCAGTTAGAATGAAGAATTACCAGTAGGCTAGGTTATTTTAATGACAGATTATTTTAAACTAAGCCTTCACCATCTGTTCCACCCCCTAATTATGAATGCAAAAAGAACATATTTCACAATTACATCAGTAAAAAAGTAAGATACACGTGATTTAAATGCATGCATGTGCTCCATGTCCAATGCACCGTGCATCTGTGATGTTCTTCTAATTCAGGCTCAGGCTAGGCAGAAAATACCCATCCATGGTAGAGTGCAGTCTCTGACAGGCTCAACTTTCTCCCTAAACCCAGGCCTTTGCACTGTTATGACAAAATGCTGTTAGAGCAGGAACAGAACATGGATGTCAGCACAATGCAAGCTTGCAAGCCATTAGAGAAGAGTATTTTATAACTGCTAAGACATCTTTGCTGTTAATAAGGAGAGGCTGTATGAGCAAATTTCTTCTGCTCTCTGGGCGATGGGTCAGAACTGGAAACCAGGAGAGTCTGCTCTGGAATCATGCCTCCATCATCATGAAAGAAGTTGAGTGAGTAGGCAAAGCACAGAAGAAGCCTGGCCTGAG